GTGACAAGAAAACATCCCTACAACTTCTGAAAGTGAACAGCAGTGTTTTACTGTAGCATAAGAGCATAAGCCTACATTAGGTTTATTTAACAACAGACACTGAATAATCAAATGTAAGAAAAAAAAAAAAACACTGCTTAGTTTTCACTGTACGAATTAAATATATACTGATTCTTATTAAAGCTACAAAAGTTATTCAACCAAGAGTTATTCAGCGTTTTGTTCATGACCACAGTTATTGCAAGCCATTGCGATATGCATATCATGATGTATACATTTGCAATATTCCGATAATTTCGATATATTGTGCAGCCCTAGTTTATATAATGTAACCAATTCCATAGTGCTATTTCATTCAATGTGCTCATTTTCGTCATATGGTAGCTGGGGTGACTGGAATCCTTCCAACAGAGATTTTTAACCAGACAGCACGTCCTGCCGCCTACATGACTGCTGGCTCTCTAATGTGGCTGAACCTCTTCATTATCGGGATGATCTTCCCTTTCCTTGTGGTGAGAGAAAAACAGACACATTTATTGTTCATGGCAAAAATGACTTCTTTATTAGTTATTAATATTTTTTAAGTATAGTTCAAAATAAGTTTTTAAAAAAACTGCCAGTGCATTAATATAAAATACAACACATTCTCTGAAAACAAGTCTTAAAGGGACAGTTCACCCAAAAATTCAAATTCTCTCATCATTTGCTCACCCTCATGCCATCTCAAATGCATATGACTTTATTTATTTTTCAGATAAACACAAACGAAGATTTTTAGAAAAATAATCAATCTCTGTGAGTCCATATAATGTCATTGAATGGGTGCTGCTTGGTTGACGCTTAAAAAACCACACCCGAGAGGAGACGTCAATCCATAGGACCTGTGGATGAGTCTTCTGAAGCGAAACGATAGGTGTGTGTAAAAAATCATTGCTTCTGGTCTACTGTCATACGAGCGTTCATGAGGAGGAGGGGTGACGTGACATGAGAGCGTTAAGAAGCTTGCACAAAAAAGGTTAATAGTTAATAGTTATAGTTAAAAAAGTTCAAAATATTAGTATTTTTCTTACACACCTATCGTTTAAAAATCTTTGTTTGTGTTTATCTGAAGAAAGAAAGTTATATACATTGGCAATGGCATGATGGTGAGTAAAACATGAAAGAATTTGTATTATTGGGTGAACTGTCCCTTTAATGTCTAATGTAGTGTTGATAAGTAAATGTATCATGTTTTAAGGATTTGTAGATACTGGTTAGGAATAGTATTTCTTCTTTTTATGAATGCCCTCTTTGTGTTTTTGTAGAGCAGTTTGGGACATTATTGCTTTGTGCCATTTGGGGCTGTATGCCTCCTGACTGCTTCATTTATTTGGATGGTTCTACCTGAAACCAAGGGAAAGACCCTAGCGATGATCACTAAAGAGTTTCACAGACTCAACTACCGTGGACACGGCAAAATGGATCCAGAAGTAATTCAAGCCCAGTACCAACTAGGGGAAGTCTTTCACTCCACTGCCCTATAGTGTGTTAAACATTCTCATCAACTAAATTAATATTTTTTAGAAAAATATCTTTGAAATAATGTCTGAATTGTTCATTCATCCCACAGTGAGTTTATATCTTGTCATGTTCTTTTTTACATGCATTACTTGCTGATTAAATATTTTCTTCATCACTAAACCGACTTGCATTACTTATTTGATTAATCCATTAATAATGCATTACTGTCTCACATTACTCAAGTCAAGTGTTAGGTATTGCCAACCATAGACCTAACTGCTCAGACATGTAGAAAAGATTTTCCTTTATATTGATTCCCATCAGGGAAGAAAAACTAAACCTTTTTTTGTAGTTTTGTTAGCACATTTGATACAGGAGATGAGTTCAGATCACACTTAAGCAAGTTGACATTGGCAGCGTCATTGAGGGTGTGCAGTTATAACAATTCTGCTGAATGTTTCTCCTTAAGGTCAATGTGACTCAGCAACACCCTTACAGCGAACCCCTGATGCTTTTCTATGGCAACAGAGAGCTTTAGTTCATAGTAAACACATGATTCTTGCTAGTGTTTAGAACAGATTAACAGGACTATTCGGCTAAATCTAGTTGTTTATTTCTGCAAGATTATCTGCACAAATGGGCAAATATACTTAAAGTCCTGCATGCCTACTTTGAAGGTGTCACGCTCAGGCTTGGACTCAATGACCTGAACTGAGGTAACTGAGGTTTATTTGCAGATATGGCAGGAACACATTGCATAAACAGGTAAGAGATTATACTTGAGTTCCTTAGGTGAGAAAGGCTTTTATTGTTAACTTTCAGTCTTTGTCTTACAGAACCGTTGGAGCACACACACAGGAGGGAACTACACTGATACGAGGGATGACTGGAAGATGACGTGATGATGACTGGAAATCAACTTGAATGAGGTAACAGCACTAGCTATCGAGGTAGTCAGGAACATTAAGCAGGTAAGTAGTCTGCAGCATCAGATGATGTCAGAACCATGACCAAGGGAGTGTGTTTGCTCTATATAGTGCTGGTGATGAGGGCTAGTTGAGTTTCAGGTGTGCGTGCTTAGGTGCCAGGGGGGATGATGGGAAATGCAGTCCGTGACATAAGGGACATACAACTGTTTTAGCTGACCTTAAGTAATATAGTTCTGTACTCTGCTAGACTAGGCTGTTAAAAAGCCTAGAAATATTGAAGTTGTAAATTGTCATATAATAATACATTCATATAATACAACAAAACCTTTTGAGGCTTGTTTTTTTGCCAAAGATTTTTTGGATATTGCGAAATGGATTAGCTATTAAAGGATCATGAAACCCCTCTCTTTCATACAGTTTTGATGTGTCAGTAGTTGATGATGGCTAACCAACCCCCTGCAGCCAGAGTCTTGCCCTGGCAGCATTGTGGGGAAATCCCCAAATGCAACACAGCCGAACTTTTACACCACGGAAACAAACACTTGCAACCCATGAAGGCCTTTCTCATCTATTACTTGATCGTAGGAGAGCACCACATGCTGTCATGAACAATTAAGAGACAGTGTTTTCTCATGGGATAAGAAAATATGAGACACCGACTCATCATCGAAGTATTACACAGTATAGTCAGTGTATTGCCATGTCACCACGTGTGACATAGACACGATGCAGATTTTAAACACAGAAGCTCAAAATTAACCAGTTTTCCCCTACTATTAAAACTAACAGATGCTAACATTGTCTTCAATGGTGTTCAACACACATAACTCTGTTAGAGTATATATATTTATGGTAGAATATATATATATATATATTTTTTTTTTAGATATATATAGCAAGTACCTACAGTATTAATGTTTTAAACAAATGGTTTCCTGTATCTCTAACTATGATTTTATACAAATGTGTTTTTTAATATACAGAGATTGATTATCCAAAATGATGAGTACCCATTTTTATTCTTTATGTTGTTGTTGTTGTTTTTTTGTTTTGTTTTTTCGAATCAATTGGGACACTGCAATTTTTTTAATGAAAATTTTTCAAAATATAAAAGATGCATACTTAGTGGATTGTGCAAATGAGTGTGAGTGCATAGGCTAAACACTTTTAAATGACTAAAAGACTTCAACAGAAGTACATGTAACAAATTAGCTCTATGAAATATTAATAATCAATAATAACTTGTTACACAACTTCCTTACTTGAGTGAAAGTATCAAATTTATTTCTAGAACACAGTTCCAGTAGTGGGATTGAATGTGAGATTGAATAAATGCACTCAATAATGTCCATAATAGTTTTGGACACCAAAATGGCTGTTCCCTCAAATAGTGCCCTATTAAAAGGTTTTTGCCTTTTAGTATGAATAGCCTTACTCTTCTCTATAAGCTAGTGTGCTCCAAAACAATGACAAAATTCGCATTTAGAAGACCAATCCCAACGTTGAAAATGAAAATCAGGTTGATGTCAGAATCCAACGCCAGATTGACGTTAATCTCCAATGTTGGACAGACGTTGTATTGTGGTTGAAAATGAAAAAAGGATTGTTGTCAGAACCAAACCAAAATTTTCCAACCAAAATCCAACGTCTGTCCGGCATTGGATAATGACGCAATCAGATCAATTTGTTACTGTCCACCTCTATATTTACCCATGTCCTCCGGTCAACCTCATCTAAGTTATTTGGATTTCGGAGTGCAGTACTGAGGGTGAGAGATTAATCTAAAAGCCACACTGGTTTCTGAATAATATATCCCATTTAATAAAGCAAACTGCACACAAATTTCTACTTTATATAAGTTTAACTGCTCATTTAAATTATTGTATTAATCTACTGAACTTGGTCTACCAACCTTTTCAAATCTCACTAAGTGTGACTGCATTTTTCTGAGTATGCGCTCAGGGACACATTTTCTATAAACTGCTGTTTAGCATTTAATCAATACCAAATAAGGAGCTGCAATATTACACATGAATAAAATTAGTTTATGGTGTGGTTAGTTGATCTGAGGGACATGAATTGGTAGAATATGCTTAAATAGATGTGGTTCACTCAAGAAGCAGAGAAAATTCAATATTAACTGATGCCTTAAATCCTGGATCAGTGTTTTACAAAGTATTATTTCAAGAGTTGCTCAAAATAATATACTACCTCTTTATTGGAATTGGTGTCAATTATTTTTTTCAATCAGACAAGCAGTAGTAAACAGATTGGCTTTGGAATCTTCATCATGACAGTCATGTATATGCAAATATTCATGCTTGCTGAAGGTGTGCACAAATATTAGCAATATGAAAAGCATTTTCCATTACATTTTTGACCTACATGTACGTATAATGTATATCATGTTATGATTAGATCAATGTGACCAGTCATAAACAAAGTTTTAAATAATAATAAAAAACTACAGTATTGTTTTTACAGCAGGTTGCCAAAGTTATGCAGTTTGTACCACAAAATAACTTGTAAATTATAACAAGTATGTGTTCTGAAATTCACATCACAAGAAAGAAAATTCTCAAATACAGTTTTATTTTATACCCATCTCTGTACCAAATAGACAGAGACACAAAAACAGTGTACAAAAACAAACATCAATAGAAAAGTATGCTTATATCCAAATGTCAAAAAATTGATCAACGTTGTGACATAAATTGCAGAGAAACAACAATTTGTCAGAAAACAAAAGGGTAGAATACCAAACATGTACAAATGTACACTTTTCTATGTGCATGTCTTTATACAAAAGTGTCAATGCAACTCTGTTTGTATATGGTTTTTATAAGATAGGTCCTTTAAATGACAGATTTTTCCTACCCATCTCTGTTCACAATCAGTATTGGGAAGGCACTTTGCAACATACAAATATACAAATACACAAGCAAGAAAACAAAACAAAAAAAATGTTTCCAGTGATGTAATAAGCCAGAACACCATACAAGACGAACAAATAACAACAATAAAATAACTGAATTCCTTACAACTTCAAATTTGTAAAATAAATAAGGGCTTCAAAAATTCAGATCACACTTATTGGGCAGACAATGATTTTTACTATTAGAAACGTTAAATTCCAATCAATTAACAGATGTTATGATCTGATATTAGCAATGATTAGTCAAATAAGTAAGCTGCAAGGACCTGCAGGTTTTTACAGCTGCACAATAAAAGCATTAAGTCGAACAAGTACACATGTTAATAAAATGTGTACTTGTTTTGCAAAAAAAGAAAATAGTTTTTTTTGTGTGTGTGTGTACATATCGTCATTGATAGTATAAATCATGAGTGACCGCTTGCAACACCTCTGCATTATTATTCAAACTGCTATTCGAAAAATACTCCAAATAAGTTCACGGTACATTATACTAATAACCTGCAGGGTAAAATAAGGAAAGGTAACCAGCATTAACACTGCATTTCGAGTAAGAGGAACAGGCAAACACCAAACACACACCCAAATACTTGCATAATAATAAAGACACAACAAAAGTATGGATTTGTCAGTATCAACTTAAAACAATTCTCTTAAAACATACTCTTCCAAAAAAGAAAAGAAAAAAATCCATTCATTCCACAAGGCCAAGGAAAGTACCTATATACAAGAATCCTGTTCACATAAACTAACATAAATGGCCATACACACATACATATTTGTATATATATATATATATATACTGTGTGTATATATATATATATATATATATATATATATATATATATATATATATGAATGTTACACATCATGTATAGTGACTTTAAGTTAAGCAGGAATGTACTGAACAACTTAGAAAAACTCTGATATATTAAAAAAAGATTAGAAAGCCCTCTGTTTAAGTTACATTCTAGAGATAAAAGACATCGGAGAGACTGCAGCATTCACACGTGTACACACACATATACGTCATCACTCTCACGCTGTCCTCCTGTCGGCTGCATGATTCAAGAAGAAAATAGCACGTTGCAACAAAACTCAATATATACCTTTTCGTAAAGGAGACTTGGACACCGGTATCAATAAGTTAATAAAATATATTCTTTGCTTCTTGCTGTATCTTACAGTGAAACCTGAAATTGGTCCCTGTTGGACATTTAAAACTGACATACTTTTTGTGACCCAAAACAATCAGTCTCAGATCTCTCTCAATGATAAACAAAGAAACAAACCACAAAATAAAAACAATTAATGAGATAACAGCCATTATTGGCCTAAAGTTTTAAAGGATTTAAATATTTATCAAAGTAATTCATAGAGGAAAAGACTACAACATTTAAGTTTTATAACAAGTTGCTGTAGGTTTTCTGTCATTGGACTAGAACAGTTGCACAGATGACTCCATCTCAGTGTTTTCTGATTATAAAAACCTCTTTTCAATTTGTAATGCTCACTGTGTAAGTCTGGACACGAATAACCTAGAGGTACATTCTGAAAATGTTTAGGGCATCAGTTTGTCTTTTAAAGCGAACATCATCCTCAAACCACCCATCTGGAAGCAGAAAAACACGTGATAAACATACATTTCAAAAGTAAGATTTTTTTTTTTTTCAAGATAGACCTATGAAATTGAGGATTTGTCAAAAGTGGAATAAAAAGATTAGCTGCTTCACACCAAGATGGAATCGAAATGGCATCCATAATAGCAAAGTCAAAATAATAACAAACATTATAACAGTGAGAAAAGAAAAAAAGAAAAGAAAAAAAATTCAAAACAAAAGTAGTCTACATATGGCGTCAAGGAGAATGAAACAACAGACTAAACTCGCAGTTATCGAAGTTTGGTTGTCCAATAAGGTTATAAGAAATGGTTGAATTTCAAAGGGGTCATTTCTCCCCTAAACCCATTCCACTGCTGCCCATCTCAGAGTCCACTAGTGAAGAGGCAAAGGCTGACTGGACGATCTGAAAACCAAAGGATTCAAGAAGTGACATGTTCTGTTGGGGGGAAAAGGGCGAGCCGAGATCACCAAGACCGGAGCCGGCCGCAGCGCGTTTCTTATGAACCCGGTGATGGTGCTTGTTGAGGTAAGACTTTGTGCGGAAAGTCTGGCCGCATTCGCCACAGGCAAACTTCTTTTCGTGGTCTGTTTTTTGAATGTCTTTGGATCCCCCCGGCGAGGTCACGATGTCTTCAGGTTGGCCGTTGAAGATGAAAGATGTCACCTCCATTTCTTCTCCCTCAACTTTGTGTTCAGCCTTGAGGTCCGTTCCGTTGGAAAGGTCACCGAAAACTGCATCTGATCCATCAGAATCCTGATGAGGGCATTTCCCAGCATTCTCCTGTCCGTCTGAGGTAAACACAGAGTGGGGAAGGGGATATCAGGGAAGGAGGGGGACAGAGAGAAATATAGGAAGAGAGAAGGAGCCTCACATTAAGCAAAATGTCTAAAAATAAAAAGATTTCCTTTATACCTGAACCCTCATGACCACAATAACTACATGTGAGAACTTGATTGTGTTCAAAGCAGCTTGGCTATCTGTTGGCCATCTATTACTGATCATTATATTGCAGCGTTTGTGCTTTTATAGTTTCTGTAATAAGGGAAATTGCATCCTATTTTGTACAACAATATCTTAATATGTCAGATTATTCAGTCCACCGAGTAGGTCTACGCTCTAGAGCAGTGGCACAAATCCTTAGTTTAAGAGCAAAAAGGACAAATTCCTTTTGTTTTCAAGATGTAAATATGAAAAATGCAATTTGAACACATACTGAATGTTATAGTGTCAATTTAAATTGATCTTAAAGGGATAGTTCACCCCAAAATAAAAATTCTGTCATCACTTGCTTACCCCATGTCATTCCAAACCTGTATGGATTTCTTTCTTATTTGGAACACAAAGGAAGATATTTTTCAAAACTCTGGGAACCAAACAACATTGGAGCCCATTGACTTCTACTGAATGGACAAGAAAAACACTGAGACATTTCTCAAAAATACCTTATTTTATGTTCCACAAAAAAAGGAAAGAAAGTCATACAGTTTGGAACAACGTGGGGGTGAGTATATGATGACAGAATCTTCTTTTTAACTATCAGGAACTATCCCTTTAAAAATTGTGAGAATTCATTACCACAAATTAGACATGCACATTTAGAGAGTCCCAAATCTCTACTCTGCTCTGAATGATCAGTGCTCACTGCTCAGCTTTTCTTACAAGTATGTAAATTAAATTTAGCCTTAACTAGCTAACTAGTTCTCCTGGCTACTAACAGTGACACTTGAGAGCATGATACCTAAGATAATTTCTGATTGGCAGAGAAGCACCCTATTTGGGGAGAAAAAATAATCGTTGCAGGTTCTCCAAGTCCATTCCACTAATCAAATCAAATTCCAGTCGGATACAGGACATTTTATGGACCCGGAATACTAAGATTAAATACAGTCCTGTTCTTCTAAAGTATAAATTATAGACAAAAAAGGTCAGAAGTGGGTGCTGTTAAGGCAAACGGATGAAAATTAAGCAGCGCTGAGGACCACCAGACAAAAAAGCATGAGCAAAATACAGACCAAGCCAATTATTAGGTAAGAACTGAAATCAGACCAATATTTTACTAATAAGGTCAATGGTGCTTTGGCGATATTTGCACCAGGCTTATCAGTCATAACATCCAGACATCCACAGTTCTTTGGCTCACCACATTGCCACCCTCCTAACAGCTCGTACTGACCTGTAAGAGGTCCATGAAGTGGAAACCCTGGTGCTCCAGAAGAGCGGCACTCCCAGAAATAGGGAGTTGGACCTGGCTTGCCCAGGAGCAGCTCAGGCTGCAGGCCCAGGGCCGGAGGCACAGGCTGGGGTAGAACTGGCCCAGTTAGCCCCCGAAAAGACCCCTCTGTCTCAGGAAAGGTAACCAGGAGTCGGCGACTGGTGCAAAGGTCTACACCCCCAGTAACCACCCCAAGAGGTAAGGGATATGGGTAGAGGAAAAGACAGAGAGGCCAAGGGGGACAATTCGTAGTCAATACAGTCAGATGACCACTAGCTTCACATCAGTTCAGAAACTATGAAAATTTTTTGTTCAAAGCTAAAATGACAACTAAAAATTAAAAAATAAATAATTTCAATAAATTTGAATGAATCTTTTTCTTTCATTACATGCCAAGCCAGCAGCTCAATGACCCTGTTGGGAGTCATACTGTAATGACAATTCTGTACTGATGTAAAGTTAATGATGCCTTTCTGATGTATTTCTGCATTACTTTTCGCATATTATCTACCAAAACCTTAAAGCTTGTATTACAAGATCAAAATATATTCTTCCACCTATTGTAGTCAATCTACAGTTAGCATCTATAACCCACTTGAAACAAAAACAATAATTTTTAGTATTCTTGTCATCACCAATACATTACCAGGGAATCATGTACAGATTCGAGGACAAAAAAAAAGATGAGGCTGACACCATATTGTTCCCCATCATGTCCAATAAGGATATTACCCAATCACAAGCTGCTAGATTTTATGGCAATAAATGTTTGAAAAAGGTCCATTAAATCCACAGAAACAATGCACAGCGTGTACATGTGCACTTATATGTGGACATGCATGAATGAAGGCTCAAATAACGCTTGCATTATGCCAGCACTTGATGGAGATGACAGTAAGCGACACACAGAATGGGACACGTGGCCATGCTAAATTGGTCAGCAGCAATGTAAGTGAGCAGACAAATCTGATTGATAGAGCTGCAACTATTATTTCATTTATACCCTAAATCAACTATCTCTCTAATTGCAGTTTATTTAAACAAAGACTACTGCAGAAACTTCAAATAAATCTATTTACGGTAGGATTCTTTTCATATTTTGCCTGTAAATCAAATATTAGCCTGGTTTCATAGACAGGGCTTAGATTAAAGGTGGGGTAGTGTGTGTGTAAATATTTCCTAAAAAAAATTGTTCCCAAATTTGTTTAAACTGTCTATATATACCAATACATAATTATATAATTTCAATAAACACAGCTCATTATTTCATTCACTCCCACCCCCTCCCATCTGGAATCCTTACAAAGCCACACCCCCAAAACAAATGAACGCGCGCTGCCGACCGCTCTCAGCTGGAGGACGCGTTTACCAGCGCCACGGAGAGGAGCAGTGCATGTAACGTTAGTGACATCATGTCAGAATCACATGTAATAAAATGCCTTACTTTATCATTATTAATATAAACAACTAACATGGCTGGTAGTACTCACTATCAAGCTAGCATATCGATACTGGTAAAGTTTAAAATATATTGAGTTTGATTCGGTAACGAGCTAGTAACATAAAACCTAAAAACAGCAAAACTAAAAACAGGTTGTATTGATACACGTTTTCCCATTACCATCAGTTACACTGTGATGAAGGTGAATTTAGTTTACGATTCATAACATATACGGTGTTTTACATGTAAGAGCTTCCACGAAAGCACTGTTGGCGTCACTTTTCAGCCCCTGGTTGTCAGTTGTTGCCACGGCTGGAAAGCCCGCCGATATTGACTCTCGTTTGACTTCTTGCTTTATCCAAAGACTTTTTGGTGGTCATAGCCTTTTCAAATACTGTCTTCCTTTTTTGCCTGGTTTTCCTTCACTGACTGTATGCAGGTAACTGGGAATTTTGACTGCTCTTTCTCTGCCATAATTGTGATTCTTCCTAGCTTCCGTGTCTCTTCCACTCCCGGAGCAAACGTGTGCGCGCATGTGGGCTGCTCTTACGCAGCAGTGCTGGTAGCCATGGTAGCGAGGGAGAGTGACAGTCGCCCAACCAATCATTTCTTTCGTCCCGGTTGGAAATAATGAGCTGTGTTTATTGCAGCACTGAGAAGACTACAGACACTCGATTTGTATACTTTCTTTTTCAGAGTACTTACATTTTAATTATGTATTGGTATACATAGACAGTTTAAACAAATTTGGGAAAAAGTTTTTTAGAAAATGTCTACCTACCCTGCCTTTAAGCCAGGATTAGGCCTTAGTTCAATTAGGACATTCAAGTAGCTTTCATAGACGTGCCTTAAAAAAAACATTACTGTTGTGCATCTTGAGACAAAACAATGACACTGACATATTTTTTCAGATATGTCAGTGCAAGTTTCTTTCAGTTAAAACAACTCAAACATGCAATTTAGTCTGGGACTATCTTAAGCCTAGTCTGTAAAACCATTAAAGAAGCTTAAATCATTTGAATAACAAACTTTGAATTTACGTTTCTATTATCATAAAAAACCTTGATGTCTGCAAAACTACAAGGACTGCATACATATACAATACTCCATCAGATATCATTACATCTGCACATTTTGGTTGCCGTTTTACAAAACTCAGTTGAGCTAAAGAAACTCTTCCTTAACTTTCCTCATAAAAAGTGAAAGCACAACCCATTCTTTCAGCAACAAACATCCTTTCTCATCCACTGGGAGAAAAGTCCTGAAAGATGGTGCAATATAAATCAGAAAGGCCCAATTTTGAACAACATATCCCTGATTCGCTGCAAAGTAATGTTGCAATAAAGATGAAAGATGTGCAGCGCTACAATCTCTGTTTTGCGGGTGAGTTTTTATGCAAGCAGATGCAGCATCTGATAAGCAGCAGTGAAAAGACAGCAAGTGAGCGAGCAACAATTTGACGCTGTGGGGAGAGGCTAGCTTGCCTTCCACTGCGCACTGGCGTCCTGAGTGGTAGGGGGCGCCGTTGTGCATCTGTGGTCTGTTGGTGCGTGGTTCAGGGAACTGATGTGCTGCAGAGGAAGGGAGCATGGACGAGCTGTGGTGCGTTTTTACGTGCACCTTTAAGTAGGAGGCAGTAGAAAAACCTGAGACCATCGGAAGAACAAGTAGGAAAAAAATAAAAATAATAATAAAATAAAATAAAACAGAACAATACTCAGTCTGATTAATCAGATTTTTCAGAAGAAAAATATAAAGAATAAGCCACGAACCTTTTCAGTACTACTATATAAAACTTGGCTTAATGATAAATACAGAAAACTGGGGGAAAAGCTCAATCAGTTTTTGAGAGCCTAAACTAACTTACTAAGGATGGTGTCAGTGGCAATAAAAACATGGATCATTAGCTGGGTATTAATTATGTACACACAAGTTTTTATTAAATTAGTTATTTTCAATGCATAGTTGACCAGTACCTTTGTTGCATATTCCACAGTAGTTATGAGGTCCTTCACTGTGTTTTTTCAAGTGGTCGGTCATGTAGGCAGCACGGAGGAATTTCCCACACACTTGACATGGTATCTTATCTTCATGGCATGCCAGGTGCGACCTCAGGCGATCTCGTGTTGCGAAGGATGCGTTGCAAATCTGAGACATTTCAAGATAATGGTTTATAAGCCTTTTCCCGAGAGATCATTTTTGTTCGAGTGTTATCGCAAACATAAGGGTGATTTAAAGGAGGAATTTACTTGAATACTTAAATTCTGCCATCATTCACTTACTCCCGTGTCAATCTAAACCTGAGTTTCTTTGTTGCATTTAATACAGAAGGTGAATTTTTTTAAGAATATCTTGGCCACTCTTGTCCATATAATGAATGCGAATGAGAACTTGGCTGTCAAGCTCCAAAACAAGTATTTTGATTACATTACAGCTTTGTGTGAAGAACAAACTCAAATTTAAAGTCACCATGAAATCAAATTTTTTTTTTTACAGTTTAATATAATGATTTATCCATAATCCATGTGCTTTTGTAATATTTGATAAAAAAAAATGTTTTACTTCCTCTCCCCCTCGCATTCTCGCAATGACATCTCTACTCAGAAGATGTGCAGCAGCACAAGGACTGGCCAATAATCCATCACTTAAATGAGATCACAGCAATTTGCAAATGACAACAAATCCAATCAATGCTTGATGGACAAAATCAAGTCCCCTCCCTCCCTCCCCCTCCTTGCTCATTCGAGAAGCCGTTACACTTGGATGTCACAGTAGGATAGAAAAATGATAACAATTTTGATTTCATGTTGACTTTAAGTCATTATTCACTAATTCACTGCAGCAAGTTGCTAACCACTGTGCCCATCAGTGTCTTTACATGCACTTTAAAAGCGATAGTTCACCCAAAAATGAAAATTCTTTCATTAATTACTCTCCCTCATGTCGTTCCAAACTAGGGGTGGAACGGTACATGTATTCGTATTGAACCGAAACGGTACGGGCGTCACGGTTCGGTGCACGAATTTACACGGAGAATACACGGTATAAAAATAAATAAAACTCGCATGCAAATTAATTAATGTAACGCGGAACTACTGTTAGATTCACGGGTTCTTTAGGGACACATAATATGTACCATCGGCTTAACTCTGAATGCGCGTTCGCTTCAAACGTTGGCTTTATACGCGGGTCCTATTCGCTTTGGACTAGCGTCGAACTAAACGCGAATTTGACGCTCTATTCGCGTTTGGTGTGACCGCATAATGAACAGGCTGCGATGTCAAGATTGCAATGAATGCTGGAGTGAGTGTGTGTGTGTGTGTGTGTGTGTGTGTGTGTGTGTGTGTGTGTGTGTGTGTGTGTGTGTGTGTGTGTGTGTGTGTGTGTGTGCGAGGCAGAGAGAGAGAGAGAGGCGCAGGCGCGATCGAACTCTGAGAGAGAGAGAGAGAGAGAGGCACGGGCGCGATCGAACAGTGGAAACATAAAAAACATACTCCGTCATTTTGTTCATACAGATCATTAAACCTGCAAAGTGTTTACTTATATTTGTGTACACTCGCAATAAAACACAACATTGTGCTTTTGTCACACTGTATACTTTTGTCAAACTGTAACCTACAACTGTCACCCAACCAAAATCACACACACACACTGTTTTAAAAGCAAAACATTTATCCAACTCCATTTCAAAACAGTCTGTGGGTCCCATCTTTTGGACATTCATCATATTGCATTGGTTTTCATTTCTTGTCCTCAGAGCACTAATCTTACACATTCTACATTGATTAAAAAAGAAAATCAAAAATTTTTTTAATGGTAGTATTATTTTATACAGAAATCAATTATTTATAATTCAGATGAGAATAATGTTACATTGTTAATTAATAATGTTAATTTAAATTAAGGAAAACAAATATATTGATCTCAAATATAGCAAATTAATTTTAAATTAATTCAGGTACCAAACATATCGCATGCTCTTTTTGTCTTTTTATTAATTTAATTAATAAACTAATTATATAAAACTATTGTCAGTGCACTACAAATAAACTGGTTCTATGCCTTTATTAATAAAACTTATTTAAAAAATACAATGCCTTCTGCATTTTTGTTTTGCTTTTCCCTCCATTGTACCGAAATCGTACCGAACCGTGATGTCTGAACCGAGGTATGAACCGAACCGTGACTTCTGTGTACCGTTCCACCCCTATTCCAAACCCATAAAACTTTCATTTATCTTCAGAACACAAAAAAAAAAAGTTCAAAAGGAGATCTTAAACCGAATTCCTATGAATAAAGGTGAATTGAATTGAGTCCAAATTTTCTGAAGAGACACAAACGCTTTTAATGATGAACAGATTTAATTTGGTCTTTTATTCACATATAAACATTCATCAACGCACACATCAGTTGTGGTAAACGGAAGCTCAATCACGCTTGCTTGACGTGAAACCAATGAGGTTCATCCTCGTGTGTTACGCAGCACGTTTGAGCTTCGGCAAGAACCAATGAGGTTTGTTCCCGCACTTCAAGCAAGTATGGGTGAGCTTGTTTATGTTCCCTGAACAATTTTAATGTGAATAAAAGACTAAATTAAATCTGTTCATCGTATAAAGCGATGTCTCGTGTTTCTCACACAAAATGTTAAGCTTTCATCTGGCTTCATAAGTTGTATGGACCATATTTAAGATGTTTTATGGTGCTTTCTGTTGTTTTGGAGCATGACAGTCACAGTCCTCAGTCATTTGTCATGGAAAAGAGTAGAAAGAGTTGCTGGAATTTGATTCAGAAATTCACCTATTTTGACCCATGGATGAAACAAAGCCTTACAGATTCAGAACAACATAAGAATAAGAAAATAATAGTATTTCTTACCTGACACTTGTGAGGTCTCTCTGTGGTGTGCACCTGTTTAATATGTCCATTCAGATGGTCTGGCCTGCAAAAACAAATCACACAAACCATTTATGATGCCAAATACATAAACGAATGATGTAATAAATGTAACTATAAATGACTGCAGTCACCTGGAGAATCCCTTCCCGCAGCTTTGACAGACATACGGCTTACCCACCGAGCCGTCGTGAGAGCGCACATGGTAAGACATCCTATCCTTGCGTTTGAAGCGCAGCCCGCACACCGGGCACGCATACGGTTTCTCGCCCGAATGTGACAGCTTGTGCCGGTTCAGGTGGTAGACGTCTCGGAAGACCTTCCCGCATAAATCACACGCGACGTGTCGTCTCGTCCTCTCGCGCTTACGGTTGTCCGCCGGCAGTCCGTTCTCCTGAAACCTCGACTGGGAATGATTGGTCATCGTCGGGCCGTCCACTGCGACCAGCTCTGCTCCGCTGCTCACACCGCCGGTGAACGTCCCGTGTTGAGTCTCGTGGTTTCTCAACTGCACGTCGTCGGGAAAAATCTTGCCACAAACCCCGCACGAGAAAAGGCCCCCGTCTTCGTTTTGAGCAGTGCTATTATTGTAGGAGATCGGCTCTGTTGTGGGCTCTTTTTTGGGTCTCCCTCTGGTTCGCTTGGAGCCGTCGCTGTTGAGGTGGCTGCTGGGAAACTCCAACGGGGAAACCGCTAAGTGATCGGCCGCTTGTGCTCCGGGCTGCGAGCTGTTACTCGGCTGCGTCGGATCCGCACCGTCGCTGTCATTGTTGTCAGTAAACACGGCACCGTTGGACACGCTCCCGTTTGACATGTCCACGGGCAGGGGGTATGACAGCTGCTCCGCGGCCCTGAACAGGCTGTGCTCGCCTCCTCGAGGCGGAGGCACGAGGATTTGCACATTGGACTGTTTAATAACCTCCTGACAGATCTCGATGACAGATCGCATGAGCAGAAACTTCGCCGCGGTCATCAGCTCCGGGAAGCACTCCAGGCGCACCACGATCTTGGAGGTGTACGCGAAGTCCAGGATGTCTCGGAAAACTTTGGGACTGATCGTGTGCATCTCCAGCTCTTTGCCTTGGCCGTCGTCTTCCGTCTGACAACTGAACACCGACTCGAAATACTCGCTGCACGCCGCCAACACCGCCTTGTGCGCGGGGAAGCTCTCCTCTCCGACGCGCAAGATAACATCACAAAACCTGCCACCATCTTTTCTCTGGCTGTTGAGGTTGTGTAGCATCTCGGCGCTGTGTTTGCTCACCTGGTACGTGTAGGAGGAATTCCACGGCTGTTCTGTCTTCTCCATACCGCCTTCATTCAACAACCGAGCCTAACGCACACGACGGAAGAGGTAGACGAACACAAACGGATGGCAAACACCCAATAAACAGAAGCACTCAGCAGCGACCACCACTCCTCGCCTTTTTAGCATCTAACATGTTAGCAGGGGGAAAAATGGCAGCCCCCCAGCTTCCTGTGAACTTTGACCTTTGTTTGAAGGGAGGGGGGTGTCGTCCGCGTTAAATATTTTCGATTTTAACGGTTTAATCCATTACTTTAATTCAAAGAGAAAGCGCCAATACTCTTCACACACCGAAACTGAAGTTTGCTGGATGCATGTTGTCCGTCTTCCTGGTTCGCAGCGTTATGAATTCACATTCTTGTTTTCCAGTGAGCCCCCTCCCCCAAATGTACGCCAGACACTGAATACATGACAGCAGACTGCCTCCTCTCTTTCGGACACTGTGTAACACCACTCAGAAAAATATAGCCTACTGTAAACAAACGAAATTCTAGTGAACAGGGGAAACTCTTTTAAACGGACACTAGCCCTAAAGCTGCTCTCCTGAACTGGTAATGTACAGATCAAGCATAAAGACACAATGGAGAAATGAAATTGTTGTGGACCGTAACACTGGCTTTGCTCTATGCGTTTGGCAATCAAATTGACAAATTCTTGAACAAACATCACATTTAAAAAATGCTTTACATTTTTGAACGTAGGCATAAACGCATACATAAGCCTGTTTTCACACCACACTAGTTAGTTTGAGCTTAGATTTTTCTCCTTGGGTGGACTTCTTCCTCTTTAAATTAATGAAGCATGTTTACTCAGTTATACTGATTTTTTTTTTTCAACTCACTTGCAATAATTTTTGAATTTATTCTCATGCTATTGTATCTATATAATTGTCTATTTTTGGTTGTCTTTCTTTTAGTTTCAGTTAATGCATCACCCAACTGAAAAGCACCATACAGGACAATAAAACAATATTGTGCAGGAAAGAAAAACACCTGGCCAAGCGTCCATGCGATACACCACTGAAGTATGGCAAGGGAAGTGTGGCTTGAACCAAATGAGCAAATATTCAATTTTACAATGTTCACCGTAACATTTGGAATTTAGAAAATATACTTAGCAAGATTAGACAAACATGACTGTCCAGTGACAGAAATATAAATGACCTGGGGCATAACAGCAAAGAACACTGCAATAGACAGATCAATTAAATGCAGAGGATTTTTTCCCCCTACTCAACCATATGAAAAGTATACTTTTGCCCAAGCAGACAATTTATACCTTGAAATCAATGAGTCAGAAATGCATTTTTATGTGAATGATTTTTTTTATTTAATTTTTTTTTATATTTATTAACTATTTGTGCTTCTTAAATTAATAGCACATTACTTAATTGCCAACCCCTGCCACCCTAAAACAAATGCGATTCAGAGCAGTGCTTCTCATACATTGACTAAGAAGACCGGCTAGAGGAAGGATGGGAGGGTTTTTTCTTTAAAATAAAAAGAAAAAAGGAAACAAAGGCACAACTAGCATTCACTTCTTGGGGTGGAAGAGAGTCCCCACTTGCAGAACATTCTGGCTTAAATATTCCAGCAAAAGTTAAGGGCATGCCTCTCTGAATCAGGGATGCATTAAATCGCTACAGACGTGGACCTCTTTCCAATAAAGCAGCCATCATCAGTGCCACCATTTCCCACCCAATCAACCTTCGAGGGGAAACATTGTGCAGACATTGTGACTGGACAAAGAAAAAGCAACTTTTTGGTTCCTCAACAGCAGGACAACCATCCCCACAAAGTCAGAAACAGAAAGAAAAAAAAAAATCTATGTACAAGGTGGAAAAAGATAAATCAATTCCCATAATCTGTACAATCCAGGCCTATACATTATTTACTTAACTGCAAAAACTGAATTCAAAACAAACTATGAGAAACTACATTACTTTGACAAAAGCGGCAGGAAACCAAAATCATGTCTTTTCCCTTTTTTGCTCTCAACTTTAGGCCTTTTCAAAAAAAAAAAAAAACAATTCAGCACCTGCAAGGGTTTCAGACAGAGCACAGAAAAATAGACAGGGCTCTGACATATGTACATACTGGTAGAAATCAAAGTTTATATCTCTCCATCTAGAAGGTAGTGGGGAAGGGATGTCTTGCTTCGCTCTTGCTGACTGGTCACAGGATGTCATCACTGGCGAAACTCAAGCTCATCAACACTAATTACTTTAGTAGAAGGCATGGAAGGGAGGGGCTGTTGGAGTACATCAGACCCAAACCACTTGGCCAGGCCCAGAGGAGGGCTACCACCTCTTCGCTGGGAATGGTTTGTCCGATGGGGACCGTGGCTCTGTGACTGGAAGCCTCCTGATGGAGCCACATGGAGATCTGTGAAGAAAATAAAACAATTTGCTTCTGGCTGATATTTAAAATATTGAGATGATCTGAACTGGCCTATTACCCCCCAAAAAATCGTTTCAGCAATTGTGTACATCTCATTTTGTTACAATTAGATTGCATTAAGTCACATTATCAGCCACTGGCCAACCTTCTCTAGATTGACGTATTGTTCCCTTAAAAAAAAAAAGTTATATATATATATATATATATATATATATATATATATATATATATATATATATATATATATATATATATATATTGGTGGTTAGAACAAATTAAATTGATCAAAGGCGACTGTAAAGATACTTTTAAATGCTACAAAAGATTTCGATTTCAATTAAACATTAGCCATCTAACCTCCACTTTATACATTCTACTAACTAGAAGTAACTTTGTAACTACATGTCAACTAACTCTCATTAAAGAGTTAGTAGACTGTCAGGTTATGTTTAGGTGTTAGGGATCGTAGAATAAGTTGACTTCTAGTTGCCAAGTTACTTATAGTTAGTAGAATATCTGTTGGAGGGCCATCAAAATAAAGTGCTAGCAGATATTAAGCAGAAAGTCTACTAATACTCTAATGACAGTTAGTTGCAAAGTTACTTATAGTAGAATGTCTAAAGTGGACTATCAAAATAAAGAGTTACCAATTACTGTTTTCACAAAGATATTAAGCGGCACCTGTTAATATTAATAGTAAATGTTCGACCATGTGACACTGAAGGCTGGAGTAATGGCTGCTGAAAATTCAGCTTTGCAATCACAGGAATAAATTACATTTTAATATCCCATTGAAAATTTTAAAATCTAGTAATATTTCAAAAAAGTTAAAACTTTTTAGTGTATTTTGATCAATTAAATGCAGCCTTGGTGAGCATTAAAAAGAGACATTTAAAAATAAAAAACAAATCTTCAACATTTGAACAGTAGTGTTTATCATTCTAAAACACTGGTGCTGTACTTACTGGGTCTCTGCTGTTGTTGAAGCTGTTGCTGCATGACTGCTAACTGCACGTGTGTTCCTGCGGCTCTAGGGGCCATAAGCGGATGTCCTGCAGGACCAAGGGGATACAGAGGCTGCCCTAAGAGGGCTGGGGGCAGACCCTGAAGCTGAGACAGGTCTACAGCCTGAGGGAACATGCCTGTTCATGCAGAGAAAGAACAAAAGCTAACTAACTACCGTTTTCAACAAAGAAAGGTATGAACAAAGAACAAGTGTAATTCCTCATGTCCAGCAAAGATAATTGATTTTCTAGGCCTTTTAGAGATCTACTGAAGTCACACAAACCAACCTGCTTGTAATAATGTGGGTCCGAGCTGTTGAGGCTGGATACCCTGAGCCAGCATCCTCTGCATCACACCAGGATGAAGCTGGGGTGGAGGTCTGACCAACGGGACGTGGGGAAGCAGAGGGACTGGATACATCTGGGGTCTGGAGAAGGGAGAGGAGGGGCCTGGGGATAACATAGGAGGAGTGTGGCGGCCAGTTGTTGAAGGAGGCCTGGGTCGGTCTGGGTCTTTACTGTGACGATTCTGAGCAGGATTGGGTGTGGAGCATGCCTTTACCCCACCGGTCTGAGGACCACTGGTGTCCACATCTTCCAGAAAGGAACTGGGGGATGGAGGCCCATCTATAAATGAAAGGAGATGGTTTTGGGAAATTAAAAAGATATGTAGCCCTAAAAAAAAGGAAGCCGTCTCATTCTTTTATATCATTTTAGCATTGATGTGGCAACGTGCGCATCTGCAATAATCACTTCGCAGCAGGCGCAATGTCAAGTATAGGGATCGTAGTTGATCCGCACCACAGTTCTAAATTCTCAGATTAATTGCAAAGATTAACCATCATAGAGTGAAAGTTTATCATTTGCACATGTTTTAGGTCCTGTCAGTTAAAACAAATTTTAAACCATTTGAGCCCACAAAGACACAAAGGAACTCAATTCGGAACTCACGCAGTTTGTGAGCCGCGAACACCAAATTCCGTTCTCTTTCTTGTGTATTTGTGCTTGAACGGAAACATGCATGCAAAATTGTCAAGATGCCCACCTTGGTGAGTATCCTCGTAAACAGTTGCTTATGGGCTTACGTGAATGCAAACAATTGACAAAAAAAATACGGATGTGTATTGTTATATTGGATCCATGCACCCGGTCTTAAAGTGATAGCAGCCTATATACCCACGGCTGTCTGAGTCATTAAATGTTAATCAAACAACAATATACAAAGAGAAAAATCACTTTTGTAGCTTTAACAAAGACTAATTATAATTTATACAAAGACTATGCAGTGTTATTTTACATCTGATTCAATTTCTGTCCCTGAATACTGTTAGACTTACCTGAAAAACATGGGCTAAAGCATAATTTAATTTGCATCTTTGACCTAGTGTGTTTATCTATGCTCGTAATTTGTTTATTTTCGATGCACTCCCCTACGAAATCACCACAATCATTCGAGAATTACTACTTTCCAATTAGAGACATTCATCTGGTGAAACAGTTTTCATATCACAATCTATATAATCAGAGAAAAACAAAATATTGCAAAGTCTGGTTTTTCCCCAATACCATGTAGCCCTATTTTTTTTCCCCCACCCTGCTCTGGTCTCTTGGTGTATGTACATCATTTCATACCCTCCTGTGAGTTATGAGAGTTCACGGCCTCCTTGCTTCCTGGTCTACTCCCAGGATCATCTCGACTTTTCTCTTTTGACTCATACATTTTTTTGATCACGGACGTGGGAGTGAAGGATGGAGACAACTGCAGCAGAGGGGGAAAAAATTCAAATGACTTTCGGTTTAGTTTTCTCATTGGTCATTTGGTCAAAAGAGGGAAATTTAAAGTACTTCATGACATTAAGTGGCTCTATAAAGCCATAAGTTGATATAAATGCATCAGATGTATGATCAAATGCCTCCATGACAGTTAAATTAAATGCCATTGATTTGACTGACCACGCTAGTAACTGTATTGCCAGGTGAGGTCCGGCCAGGAAGGTGAGGCCCAGGTGAACGGTTCATCCTGGTTTGTCTACAAAACAGGAGATACAGATGCAGATAAAACGAACTGTACACACCATTATCAGCCCCTTCCTTTCATTATGCTATTCATTTGATTGGAGTAGTTACACAGTCATTTATGGTAATAAATGCATAAA